TCTGTGCTGTGCTGGGTCATCCTATGTCAAGCCATGCCGTGCCATGCTGTTAAACACCCAGTACCACGCTGTGTCCTGTTATTACACGCCATCCCATGCCATGTTGGGCCATTACAGGCCATCCATCCCATCCTAGGGCATGTCAGGCCATGCCATTATGTGCCATGTCACACCATGTTCTAACACACTGTCCATCCCATGCCATGTTGTGTCATTACATGCCGTGCTGGGTCGCTGGGCTAAGGCCAACTGGATGAGTTCTGCACTCAGGGTACAACAACCCCCAGCAGCGCTACAGGCCTGGGGAGGAGTGGCTGGAGAGCTGCCAGTCAGAGAGGGACCTGGAGGTATTGATTGACAGCCAGCTGAACATGAGCCAGCAGTGTGCCCAGGTGGGCAAGATAGCCAACAGGATCCTGGCTTGTATTGGCAATAGCATGGCCAGCAGAGACAGAGAAGGGATCTTACCCCTGGGCTCGATGTGGGGTTTTGAGCCCTTCACTCCAGAAAGGCCATTGAACAACTCAAGCATGTCCAGAGAAGGGCAACGGAGCTGGTGCAGGGTCTGGAGCACAGGTCTGCTGGGGAGCGGCTGAGGGAACTGGGGGGGTTTAGTCTGGAGAAGAGGAGGCTGAGGGGAGACCTCATGGCCCTCTACAGCTCCCTGACAGGAGGGTGCAGAGAGGGGGGATGAGTCTCTTGAACCAAGGAACAAGCGCCAGGACAAGAGGGAATGGCCTCAAGCTGCGCCAGGGCAGGATCAGACTGGCTCTGAGGAAGGATTTCTTTGTAGAAGGGGCTGTTGGGCGTTGGAATGGGCTGCCCAGGGCAGGGGGGGAGTCCCCATCCCTGGAGGGGTTGAAGAGTCGGGTTGACCCAGCACTGAGGGATCTGGGGGAGTTGGGAATGGTCAGGGTGAGGTTCATGGTTGGACTGGAGGAGCTTCAAGGGCTTTTCCAACCCAGACAATTCTGTGATTACACACCATCTCATGCTATGTCATGCTGTGCTGTTGCATGCCATGCTCTCCTCTGCCATCCATGCCACCCTACACCATGCCATGTCTTGTCATTACATGGCATGCTGCATCACTGCAGGCCATCCTATGCCATGCCATTATATGCCATCCTGCTCTGTGCCATGCCATGCCATTACACACCACCACACCAAGCCTCTGTGTCACGCCACGCTGTACCCCACTGAGCTCCCCATTGCTCCCTGACACATCACATGGAGGCAGGACATGCCCGTAGGATGGGTGCTAGGGCTGGACCCTGGTTCCTCTCCCATGGCTGTGCCAAGTACTGATGGGTGCTGGTCTCTGCTGTGCCACAGGATGAGGAGAGCAGCTTGTTGATGCTGAAGAGACATGTCCGGCAGCAGCGGTCCATTGATGACTATGGCCAAACCATCAAGGAGCTCGCGGGGAGGGCTCAGCAGCTGCTCTCTGCTGGCCACCCTGAGGGGTAGGTACCACACCACATGTCCCCTGCCCCTCAGGGTGGCCCTGTGCCCTCAGAACCAGGGTGGGTGGGTGGTTTGGCTAAGCTCCAGCAGCGTTGGCTGCCCTGGTGCCTCACTTCAGCTGGGTGGCATTGCCCCGGCTGTGGCAGGAACAGGGTGGCAGAGGAACATGGGGAGGGCAGAGTGGGTTCCTCCCCTAAAAGACCCTCCAGTTGGCAACACGGGTGGGTCGAGGGCACCTTTTCCTGGGTGAGAACTGGGGTGTCTGTGTGCCGGGGCCACGCAGGGAGCAGATCATCCGGCTGCAGGGCCAGGTGGACAAGCACTACGCGGGGCTGAAGGAGGCGGCCGAGGAGCGCCGCCGGCGCCTGGAGAACATGTCCCACCTCTTCCAGCTGAAGCGGGAGGTGGAAGACTTGGAGCACTGGATTGCCGAGCGTGACGTGATCGCCTCCTCCCAGGAGATGGGGCAGGACTTGGACCATGTCACGGTGAGGACACCCAGGGTGGGAGTAGCAGTGCCGGTGTGTGGTTTTGGAGGGACAAACTCAACTTTTCTCTCCCCTGTGCAGCTCCTGCGGGAGAAGTTTCGGGAGTTTGCGCGGGAGACGGGCAGCGTGGGGCAGGAGCGCGTAGACCGGGTGAACCTGGCTATCGAGGACCTCATTGATGCGGGGCACGCAGAGGCAGCCACCATGGCCGAGTGGAAGGACGGGTTGAACGAGAGCTGGGCTGATCTCCTGGAGCTGATTGACACCCGCATGCAGCTTCTCGCTGCCTCCCACGACCTGCACAAGTACTTCTATGACGGCGCCGAGCTGCTGGCCCTCATTGCCGCCCGGCGCCAGGAGCTGCCCCAGGACCTGGGCGAGGATGTGGGCACGGTGGAGGCTTTCCACCGCATGCACAGCGCCTTCGAGCGTGACCTCCAGCTGCTGGAGACGCAGGTGAGGCTGCACCCGAGAGCTGCTGGGGCTACCCGGCATTGCCACTGCCGGCACTCAGCATCCTCCATGCTCTCCGGTTCCACCGGGTAGGTACAGCAGTTTCGGGAGACAGCGGCACGCCTGCAGACTGCCTATGCCGGGGAGAAGGCGGCCGGCATCCAGGAGCAAGAGCAGGAGGTGGCACGAGCCCTGCGGGCGCTGCTGGAGGCGTGCAGTGGGCGCCGGGCCCGGCTGGTGGACACAGCTGACAAGCATCGCTTCTTCAGCATGGCACGGGACCTGCTCTCCTGGATGGAGAGCACTGTCCGGCAGATTGAGACGCAGGAGAAACCCAGGTATGGCTGGGACCGGGTGCCGTTTGTTGGGACCCAGTGCCATTGGCTGGGACCCAGAAGCGATGCAGCCACTGATGACGTCACCTCTGTCTCCAGGGATGTTTCCTCGGTGGAGCTGCTGATGAAGTACCACCAGACCATCAGGGCCGAGGTGGACGCCCGGGGCAAGAACTTCACCACCTGCATTGAGCTGGGCAAGAAGCTGGTGCAGCGCAAACACCAGGACTCACCTGAGGTGAGGGCAGCCAGGACTGGAGGGCAGTGGGACAGTGCCACTGGGGCCACCCTGTGACGATTTCCCCTCACAGATCAAGGCAAAGCTGGTGGAGCTGGTGGAGAAGAGGAAGGCCATGATGGAGACGTGGGAGCAGCGCTGGGACCAGCTGCGGCTGTGTGAGTGTGCCGGCAGTGCCAGGGAGGATGGCGGCTCAGCCCGGGGTTAGTGGTGGCGGTGGCAGGAGGCTGAGCGCTGCCCGTCCCTGCCCGCAGTGCTGGAGGTGTGCCAGTTCTCCCGGGATGCCTCGGTGGCCGAGTCGTGGCTCATGGCACAGGAGCCCTACCTGGCCAGCAGCGACTACGGGCAGACAGTGGATGCAGTAGAGAAGCTGCTCAAGCGGCATGAGGCTTTCGAGAAGTCCTCGGCCACCTGGGAGGAGCGCATTGCTGCCCTGAGGAAGCTGACGACGGTGAGGAAGGCTCAGGGTGGGCCACAGCCAGTCCTGGCTTGCCTCTGCCTGTCCTGCCTCAGTTCTCCCACCCCACATCCCTGCCAGTCCCTAATATATCCGCTCCTTTTTCCGGCAGCTGGAGCTCCTGGGCGGGCGGACGCTGCGCGAGGGGCTGGCGCGGGATGGGGTGACACACTCTGAGGCTCCCGAATACCACCTGGATCTGGATGGGGAGCTGGAGGCCGGGTAAGGGACACCAGCACCAAGTGCCCATGGCAGCATCTCAGGCAGGGGCAGCCCACTGCGCTCGTCTGGCACATAGGCATCGTTTCCAGCGTCCCTCTTCTCAAAGCATTGAGGGTTTTTTTTTAGCAATTTGCCATTTTTGAGCAATAAATTGATGCAGTGAAGAGATATGAAGGTTAAACTCTGCCACGTCAGGGCTTTCATCCCTCGGTGGGGACCAGCAGCCAGCCCCAGGTCCCTGCAGGCCTACAGCTGTGTTTCTGTAGCGAGATCGCTGGGAGGAGGATTTTGGGGGTGCTACTCTCTGCTGGGAATGCTGAGTGGGCTGCCTCCCTGCCGCAGGTCCGAGGAGGAGGAGAAGAGGAAAGGTGTGAGCACACGGGACACCTCTCCACCCACTACTGATGGACCAGAGCCGGTCAGTTCTCAAGTTTAGCTTTTTCCTTCCCCCATGACAAAAAATGTGTCCCCTTGTGTACCACAGACCCCATGGATGCTCTGTGGCCATGACTGCGGCCATGGCGTGTGAATGGCTTCCTGCACCCCCAGCCTTCGCCTTGTTCCTTGTCTTGAATAAATGCTAAATGACCCCAAAAAGGCTGGGTGGGCATGCAGGTGCTGCACCTTCCCCTTTGCCCTGGCTCCAGAGGTGACCGGGGGTTCCCTATGGTGGCTCAGACCACCTCTGCTTGGCTGCGGGCTGGCACCCATGGGTGCTGGGTGTCTCTGGGATTGGGGCATCAGCCAGAGACAGAACATCCGTCCCAGGGTGGGCTAATCCCGGCCACCATCCTCCGCTGCTGGCGAGGCCATGTGAGTCCCAGGAGAAACCCCTGGGGGATACCGCCTGGCCCTGTGGCACCCAGCTTTCCAAGCACCCAGCCCTGGGAGGGGACATCGGGCAGAGCTGCCCACAGACACACCGCAACGTCTCTGCTGGCCCTGCTCACGTCGGCCTCAAGGCACGTGGCCCTTGGGTCATCATCACCCCATGGAGATGTCACTCTATGAGGCATTGTCACCCCAAGAGTCATCATCACTCTATGGGGCATTGTCACCCTGCAAGATATCATCACCCCGTCACCCTACAAGGCATCAGCACCCTGTGAGACTTCAGCACCCCACACAGCATTGTCACCCTACAAGGCATCGTCACCCCACAGGACACTGCCAACCTGTGTGACAGCCACCTTGTGTTTGCTGCCACCCTCTCTGCTCCTCCTGCCTGCTTGGGGACAGGATTGCTTTCTGGTTGCTCTGCCTGCTTGGGGAAAAGAACCCCTTCTGCCTTTTCTGCCTGCTTGGGGACATGGGCGTCTTCTGGCTCCTTGGGGACAAGATCATTTTCGCCTGCCTGGGGACTGGACCCCTGAGTATCTGCTCAGAGACAAGATCATTTCTGCCTGCTTGGGGACACTGGCATCTTCTGGCTTCTTGGGGACAGGGTCCCCCTCTGCCTGCTTGGGGACACTGGCATCTTCTGGCTCCTTGGGGACAGGGTCCCTCTCTGCCTGCTTGGGGACATGGACATTTTCTGGCTCCTCGGGGACAAGGATCTTCCTCTGCTTGCTTGGGGACACAGCCACTTTCACCTGCTCGGGGACAGGACCCCACTCTGCTTGGGTACAAGACTACTGCCTGTGTGCTTGGGGACACAATCACCTTCCAGCTGCCAGGGACAGCTGTCCCTCCTCCTGTCCCTCTTGGCAGGACACACCTCAGGACCTCCACATGCTCCCCGTGGTGCTGTGCAGGGCTGGAGCCCTCCCAGGGTGCAGGATTTGGGGACGGGCACCCGAGGATCGCTGAGCCCCTCCTGTGACACACCCTTTGCCAGGCACCACAGCCCCTGACTGGACCCTGTCTGTCTGCTGGCATCCTCCACTGTCCCCAAGCCCCCTGAACAGGGGACAACACCAGGGTGGCTCACAGGGCTGTCTACCTGGCTCAACTCAACCTCATCACCCCAAATCCATGGGGGGCCCTGACACCAGGGTGCAGCTCCCAGGGCTGGAGCATGTCCCAGCCACTCGCTGGGATCCTCCCAGTAGCCACCATTTCTGGTGTATGGAAGCTGGTGGGATCACTGGTACTGGAAGAGCTGGCACCCACCACTGGGCCATTGGCTTGGGGACCATGAGCCCCCACTGGGGACAGGGAGGGGATGGGACCTCAGGATGTGGCTTTTGGTGGTGGGTGGTGACACCGTGGTGTAACAGGGCTGTTACTTCACGGCAGCTGATGCGGATGGCAGGCAACGAGGAGCCGGTGTCACCGAGCCCACGGCCACCACGGGAGGAACCAGAGGAGCCGGCCACACTGCCAGCCCACTCCTGCAGCATCCAGCTGGAGGGCTACCTTGGCCGCAAGCACGACCTGGAAGCGGCCACCAAACGGGCATCCAATCGGTAGGCGTGGTGGCAATGGTGGCAAGTGCCAGGCGGTGTGGGCACGCACCGGGCTGACGTGGTGATGTGGTGGCAGGTCATGGAGCACGCGGTACTGCGTGCTGCGGGGTGGCCAGCTCGCCTTCTTCAAAGATGCCAAAAGCCGGGCGCTGGGGTTGCCCTGCCATGGCGAGGAGCCCCTGGGGCTACAGGATGCTCTCTGTGAGGTGGCTGCCGGCTACAAGAAGAAGAAGCATGTCTTCAAACTCAGGTAATGGCACGGCATGGTGTGGCATGGCACAGCATGGGGTAGCACACTCTTCACTGTCATCTCTGCTCTTGTCCCCAGGCTCAGCAATGGGAGCGAGTGGCTCTTCCATGGCAAGGATGAGGTGAGGGGCATCCCGGAGTGGGGCATGGGGTGGCTGGAGATGCCCGGGGGACAGAGGGGGGACTAGCAGTGCCCAGGGGGACACAGGATGGCCAGTGTAATGGGGGGGGGGG